CAGCAGGCAGAAAGCAGCAGGCAGAAAGCAGCATCTAGTTGGCCAGCGTGACTGGGAGGAGAGGAGGAGTGGGAGCAGGTGAGGAGAGGGAGGGTGGAGGACAGACGGCTGTCAGAGGGAGAAGAGACAGGAGAGAGGACAGCCCACCTGTGGAAACAACACCATAGAAAGCCTAAACAGAGAACTAATGCAGCTCTTCCAGCCATAGCCTGTCTATAGCACAGAGTAGACAGCATGCAGACAGGGACACTGATTTCAGGAACTATGCAGAAACAGCCTGGATTATCAGCTCCAACTCAAAATATTTACATGGAGCAAAGCTGACTGTGCTGCTAAAACATGACAGATTTAGCTGCTGTTTATCACCTGCTGCCAGGTCGGCCTTTCCAGGGAAAAACACACAGGAAGTGATGCGTAGGACACCACGGGCGGCCTTAACGGCGGCCTGTCTGGACTAAACAGTGGAAGAACTGGGCTGTTTTCAGCAGCAATCAGTGGAAAGACAAAGACACCAGTATCTCCAGTCAGTCATCATGATCACCTCTAAGTTTATGTTCACACTTTGGGAACAAATCATCACTTTAGTCAGAAAAATAGTTCAAACTTATGTTTTTTTCCTTCACAAGCTGAGAAAAGAAACAGGTTCTTCCAACAAGGAACTAAAACTCATGAAGATGTTTCCGGTTGAATGAAACTTTAGGTATTTTTTCAGAGCAGCAGATATTTGACAGATTAACTTATAATCTCAGCAACATAAACTTTATCAGAAGATGGACAGAAAGTTTAGATAAAGAGCTGATTTGATCTCTGCAGCAAAAGAGCAGAAGAAACTAAAGTTACAACTGTAACTATGGTTCTATGAATCCTGGATGACCGCCAGAGGCGGTGCTTAAAGCACGAATGATCACTCTTGAGCATGCACAGGTCAAGAATCTTATACGAACAACGTCATGTGTGACCCCCGGTGACACCGGTGAGCCTATATAATCACGTGACAACAACAGCTCAGTCCCTTAATGTTCTCGTGAAAACACAATAATTCCGAGGGAACGAGTGCTCTGGTGATCATCTGGGATTCATAGAACCATAGTTAGAGTCGTAACTTTCGTTCTATTTAATCCCTACGGACCACCAGAGGCAGTGCTTAAAGCACGGATGACGATTACCAACAGAGTCCTGAGGAATCACATATAGAAAATTAACAACCCGAACACATGCTCACCTCACTGGGAAGATGGTGCGCGCTGGGATAGGTTCCCCCCCATTAGGTAAAAGGCAGCCAAGTTACCCTTTAAAA